CACGGAATTGCTTCCATTTCACGCCTGTCTTCTGTGTGGTCGTGGTATTAGACCGGGCGTGCCGGCCTATTCGTGCTAAGATGATAAAGCGGGCACTATCACTGTTGAATACGATATAGTGATTCATTCATTGTAATATGATGCGTAAATCTTTTTCCTCGTATATATCAATTTATCAAGCCATTCTGAAGCCAAAACTTGTCAAAAGATGTTACCAATTTGATGTAAACAGCACAATTTCGTTGAAACTTTTGTTGTAAGATAATTGACCTAGTTTATTTCTATCGATGTGTACTCGATTAGGACCCCCTAACCCCCTAATGCGGGTTTGGGTTGACCCCCTGTACAAAGATAATGTGGATATTGAACCCTTGTTAATATTCTAGTCGTGAACAACTTTTATTACAGCCCAATTTTTATAGAAGAAATATGACTAACGTACTTTCAAATAAAATTGTAGTAAATGACATCCGCAAATCTAATTGTCTCTTAGTATTTCTTAGTTTTAACTATAATGTTTTCTACTTCTTTCTTCCTAGCTTAGGTCGTGTAGGGGGTAAGAGTGGGCTAAATGGGGGGTATTGTCTGGCAAGAGTAATGCCCTATTGCTCTGTTTTACTAAATCGTTTGTGCTGACTTATTAATGATTCAGTTGGTAATTATGTTTAGGTATTACTATTTAGACCGTTAATTTTTTTAATACCTATTTCTTATCTGTTCGTAATATTTTTTTAAATTGCTTCATGCAGTATCAAGATTTTTAGTCGTTTTAACTATACGTCTGCTAAAAGTCATTGAACTGTTTGCGTGGTTTTGATTAATGTTTTAGTTATTAGCGCTAACTCTAACTAATCACAACTCGGCGTGTCTAGATCAAATCGTGATGAGTTTAGGTTCCGGGTTCAATAGTAGACTAACGCCACAGTAATTGCTGTGTAAAGATATTTGATTACGTTATTTGACAATTTATACAGACGATGCCGGGAGCGACAGCTATAGTATAATTTGTCGGGTAATGAACCGTAATATGCTACAATATTGACTAGATAAGATAGGCATGTAATTGACTTTTCAAATAGTTGATATCAAATGACCCGTCTGCTAAATGTTATTTGCGAAATAGAGTTTCCGTACTCGTATTCCATTTAAGAGATAAAATGCAAAAGATAAGATTTTTTAAATCGTATACGTTTAGCTTGAAAGTCAACTAATGTTTGATTGGATGCTAACAAGAATTGTAATGAATCAGAGAGGAACGTAAACAATGAAATAATGTCAAATGAGTGTACTTCTATACTTACTAATACAATAAAGCGTAAACACACACGCTACTTGGTGACGTCAGATGTCTGAAATCACAACATGTTTTAAAATATATTTTTTCTTAAATAAAAAGCCCTACACTGATTACACGCTTTAGGTTACCTATATATTTTCACGCTATTAAACTTAGGAGTAAATGAAAGGGAAAAAATCATCATGTGGGAACGGGACCATATCTACAAACTGACAACATCAAGGAAGCAAGGTTGCCTTCGTCGTCATTTGCGTATTTGAATATTGACGTTTGCAATTGAAAAATTTCACAAATGTAAACAGTAAAGTGAAGTATTTTATGATGACGCACGGGAACAGATCGTTGCTAACCAATTGTTATAAATGTTTCAGATGAAAATGACTTCTACTCCGTTCAGCGTTGGTTTGTCTGATGACACTCGGGTGTCGAGCCGCGTACTGCGCCCCCCCGGCGGCGGGCACACCGATATCTTCGGCTCGGAGCCCGAGCCTCTGCGTGTGGGACGTCGCCCTGGACCTAATGCCACAGGTATGATTACACAACTAGAATTTGCACTAAAAAATTAAATCTTGAATTTCTTCAATGGCACTTTTCTTCAATTTTATGTATTTGATAAATAGGATTCTTTTTTTAAATCAATGTTATGTTTAGTTCCAGCGCCGCCCAAAGTAGAGGTCGCAGCGGAGCCGGCAGCCGCCAGCGCGCCCAGCCAGAACGGCAGCTGCGCGCCCCCCGACACGCCCGCCGTCACACCCACCGAGCCCCCCGCGCCCCCTGCGCCTGCCGCGCCCCCCGCGCCCGCCGAGCCCGCCAAGGGCGACGCCCCCCGGGCCGCGCCCGCCAACCCGGAGCCCCCGCGGCGCGTGCGCGTGCCCCCCGGCGGGTTCTCCTCGGGCCTGTGGTAACTCGCGGTGCGGATGACGTCGCTGGGACCAGGTGTGTACATTTGTTAGGTTATTTGGAGCGCGAAGACGCCAGCTGCCTTCCTGCGGCTTCAGGTTAAACTTTGTATTGTGATGAGTGTTGTATGCGGCGAGGGCGGAGAGGTGTTGCAGGTTTATGTTCTCAGTTTGTCTCATGTCGGTGAGGAAGATTGTTTTTTGAAGTTTCGCCGGTCCCAAGCCACTTTTCTCAGCGTGATTTTGCTTTAGCCCAGTATAGAGTTGGTTATTTTATTCCTCGCAAAGGCAATTCGTTTTTAATATTTACTCTCGATGTCTTTAAGTACTTTTTATCGCATACTATAGGTTTTATTTTTTATTTTAATACCGATCGATGGTCACAGCTTGTGTGGAATGGCGAAGCGAGCCAAAACTCTAGACTTATTAGGTTTACTGTCACGTTTTTTATAATTGTTAAGGCCAAAAATTTGGTATTCGAAGTGTGATATTTGGTGTCGTCTTCACGTAGTGCATTTATCAGATATCGTACAAAGATTGAATATTGTTGATCAAAGATTTGACGTGTGTTTGACGCATCGATAACACTTGAACTGTTTTAGCAGTAAATTGTTAAGTGAAGCCTGCACTTTGAGCTTGTAACGGACTGGTGCGTCTCGACTAGGATGTACTTAAATATATTGTCGCAAAGTGTTGCAATTGTGTTGATTTGATAAATGTTTTTTGTAAAACTTCGCCGGCAAATTACGCGATGTATATTATTAATAATATTTTTATATGAACTACAATAAATACATTCAATTTTATGTGTGTTTTATTTGTTACCACTAACTGCCCCCATCCTCGATTAATAAGATATTATTTTACTTTGACAAAGCAGAAAAAGAGCATTTAAATGCGAAACTGAATGCAAATGCTTAATTTCAAGGACAAGGAGTAGGTTTCACGTTCGAAAGTTACTTACCCTTGTATTTAACACCTGTTTTCTGTAAGGATACAATTATTTACTAACTAGCTGTTGCCGTGCGACTTCATCCGCATAAAATTATGAAAATTTTATATTACATCTGTCAAATTATCAATTGCAAATGTCAAAATGACATGACATTACAAACCTTAGCAATCTTGCTTCCTTGATGTTGGCAGCAACTTATGGTCTCTTTCCCCCATGAGGGTTTTTATCCAAAATATTAACCCCCTAAGTTTAATGGCGTGAAAATATATAGCCTAAAGCGTGACGTAAGTGTAGGGCTTTTTATTAAAGAAAGGATTATTCAAAAGTATGCTGTAACTGCTGACATCTTAGGCAACAAAGAAGTGTGTGTTTACACTTTAATAGTATAGACAGACATTACTATCCCTTTCATTCGTTAGGATGAAAACATACGTGTCAATAAGTTACAGAAATTCCTATTCCATGAAAATGTCAGCTGGCCAATCACATCACAGTTATAAAAAAATAAAAAGTCCGATCTTTGGCGGTCAAAAGGTTAATGTCTGTCAAAATGTAAGTTGTCAAACTTCCAAATGTCATCGTCAATATTCCGATAAAATGAAAATAACAAAAATGCAATCGACCATAACATCTAAACACATCAATCGTTTGTTATATCAACCTTTGCTTTAAATACTGGTGAGTACATTTTAATGCAAAATCATACTAATACAAATGCGAAAGTCTAGATTGATTGGTGGATGTTACAGTTTGTAGCCTAAACGGCTGAACGGATCTCGATGAAATTTGGCAAAGATGTAGAACATAGTCTGGAAGAACACGTAGGCTACTAAGTTAGGTTTGTTTTTTTTTTATTTCCGCAGGGATGGAATCGCGGGTGAAAGCTAGTATTTAATACACCAAATATTGCAAGTTATCAAAAATAACTAAACAAGAAATTATTCCATATGTAAATTCATTCAAAACAATATCTGTCTTAAATTGATTTACAACTGTACAATTATTACGCAAATTCGGTTGATTCTTGCAGTGCAGCATATAGCTGTGTATTGACCGACGTTTCGAGTAACGATCGCAACGGCTTGTTGGACGCTGGTTTCCCCGTAACACTACGTACTTATTACACACGTTCGTTATGTAACATGTTACATAACACCACGTAACTTCGCTGAATGTCAGATTATGGTTTAAACTTTATTTCATATCTAAATGAAATAACATGATAGTGGTAGTGTATAGATATTGTGGATATCAACGGGTCAGAGGCACAGCCGGCGCGAGATGGAGGGCGGGCGGCAGTCTCGGCTGCTAGG